TGCTCACACACACACACACACACACACACACTCTCTCAATCGATCGACTTACACTTCTGAAATTCTAAACCCAACCTGAGTGATAAGGAAATTATTTTTCTGGTGTCCAGACTTTGTAAGGTGCTTTTTCTTTATTGAAGGTGAACAATGTAACAAGTGTGCAGCTTATTTTTCCTAGGGTGAAAGAAAGTGTGGGAAAAAGCTGTGCTGGCAAAGCGAACCAGTCTGTACTGAGCCCCCACACATCTCAAACCCACGGCACCAGGTGTCGGAAGCATTCAAAGGATACTCTTATTCATAGACAAGGACCAGAGAATTAAAACTCAGAATTTGCAATTGAATGCCGATATAATCCTGAAAATATATCTCCATTAGCAACTTGCCCATTACCAGAACAACAAGGCCTTTGTGTAAGGCTTTATGTATATTTATCAAGAATGCTGGGGTTTGAATGAGACAGGGAAGTGTGTGTGTGTGTGTGTGTGTGTGTGTGTGTGTGTGACAAAGTGCCCCACATATGTCAGTGTGTGGACTGCATGATATGGCAAGTTCTCCTACAAATTAAAGGTTGTGGTTTTACGAAGTTGCTTGAATGTGTATCAGACTTATGTTGTTTTGAACTTTATAATGTTTTCCCTATAAAGCCGCCCTCCATTATGAAATCCAAAAATGGTTTCTATTAATAATTTTTGGGGTGCTTATTCCAAAAATAGTGTCTGTTTTGCTCTAGAATGTCACAAGGGGAAGGGGGAGAGGGAGATTGGGGGGAGGTGGCTGGGGTGTTTCCCAACTGTTTACATGTTAATTTCACACTTAACAGTCCTTGTCCCTAGCCATTTATACATATAATGCTATTAATTTTCCCTCCATCGTTCTTACTCATTGTGTCAGTTGTTCACACTTGATTGTAGATATGCTAATGTCAATATGTGTGTGTGTTTAAACGTGACAACTTGAAGTACAGAGGAATTCCATGATTGGAACTTCAGATTAAAAGATTATTTTTGTTAATTCACACTGCTGTTTCTAGATCGGGTTATTTTGAATGACAAAAGAGCGTAGGGAAGTTTCAGGCAGAGCAAATGAAGGTCATTAATTTGCTCTCATTTCCGTTAGTCTGGTACAGTAACTCTGCCAGATGTTTCATGTTTGTTTATCTTACACAAATATAATGTGATCATATATTCAAATTAAAACAAAGCATATATGTTGGATTTAAGTCAAACAGAATAGCATTCAAGGCTGATGAGAGCACTTGACGAGTGAAGAGGAACACCTGGACTATAGAATACTCTTGATTTTAAATGTTCTCTTTATCCTCTCCTCAGGTGATTTACTTGTAATAAAAAAAAAATTTCCCTCTCTAATTAATTAATTAAATAAATGTTTATTTTAAGAGGAATGCTTTATTTTTTCTCTCTCTTTGCCAAGTTCAGCTCTGTATCTTCTGATATAGGACATTTTGTACATGTCTATTATAAAGGAGTGTTTTATTTACCGTCAAAAAAGGTGGGTTTTTTATTGTGGTAGCATCTCTCAGCATTGTTCAATAATATCTAGCCTAATGAACTGTTGCAAGCTGCTTCTATTCAATAATAACAGTTGCCTATATTCAGCAGTGAATTTGCAGTTATTTTCAGTAAAATAGAGCTGTTCTCATACACTACACATATATAACACCATTTCACCCCACTATTCAACACTTGATAAATTAAGAAATCACCTCAAAAAAAAAAAAAAAAAAGACTTGTCCAAACACATTCTATATTAATTCCATTGTAACAAAAGAGATTTAAAAAATAATTTTCAAGCAGTTATTTTCATAGTAACCTATCAATCTCCAAAAGTGATCAAACAGAAACATAGTTAATACAATAATATAACAGTTTTGGTACTTTACTGGCATTTCTTTTGTTTTGCTGTACATAATTAATTGTGTGTAATGTAAACCACTGGGATAAAGTCAGGTCATTTATAACAATAAAAAATAAATAAATAAATATAAAAAAACAAAAAAAGTATTTTTCAAATTATAATTCTAAAAGTATTTTTGTGCAGTGACCGCAGGAGCGGAAACATTTATGATGTAGCACACTTACTAGAGAGTCTTAATGCTGAGAAGGACTCTAGCTTTAAAGCCTGAGAAAAACTAGTCTAGAAAGCATGCATCTTTGCTAGCGTGCGTCTTTCCGTTTGGGAATCACCCTGTGTAACAGGTGGACATGGGTAGTGTGCTGACATATAGCGCTGTTGCGCTTCGGGCGTCCTGAGTTTGAGTCCCAGCTCGCGGACCTTTTCCGATCCCCCCCTCTCTCCCACTTCACTTCCTGTCTGAGTACTATTCGATCCCACTCTCTCTCCCACTTCACTTCCTGTCGGAGTACGGTTCTATCATAATAAAAGCAAAATGCCAAAAATAAATCTTTAAAACTTCAACTTTTATTTATTTGTATAGCACATTTAAATGCAACTTTGTTGCCCAAAGTGCCGGACAAAAGCCTAGCTGCGGCATTTTGTACAAGCTGCAAGCAATTGCTGCTGACAAATCCCTATATAGAGTGAGTTACAGTAATCCAGTCGAGAAGTGATAAAAGCATGAACATCAATCTCCAAATCTTTAAAACTAAGAAAAGGTTTTAGCTTAGAAATAGTTCTAGGCTGATAAAAGCTACTTCTTACAACTGAATTAGAATTAATCTGTTATCAAAGCTAAGAGAGGGATCAAAACGCCAAGAATTCTTGCAATATCTTTCACTGTCATTTCTTAAGGGGGCAAGAGCATTGGCTATCTTCTCTTTAACCTTAGGAGGACCAAATATTATGATCTCAGACTTTTTTTTTCATTAAGCTGAAGAAAATTACTTGACTGCCAAACTTTAACCTCATCAAAACACCGCAACAGAGCCAGCAAAGACTGCTCATTTCTGACTTTAAGCGGTTGATAAATCTGTGTCATCAGCATACATGTGATAAGGAATGTCGTAGCGACGACAAACAGATCCCAAAGGGCACATATATAAAGAAAACAACGTAGGACTCAAAATAGAGCTCCGAGGAAGACCGTATTTTAAGGGGACCACTGAGGATACAACATTTGCAAAATTAACAGAAAATGTTCTGTCCTTAAGGTAAGAGTGAAACCATTTAAGAGCTGTTCCACCAAACCCAACATCACACTCCAACTGTTTTAAGAGAATCAAATTATCCACACTGTCAAATGTGGCACTGAGATCTAACAAAATTAAAACAGCAGCCATCCCCCAGAATCAACTGCTAATAATAAATCATTTAACACTTTTACCAGAGCTGTCTCTGTACTATGACAAACTCTCAAAACGGATTGGAATTTGTCCAGGAGATTATTCTCCCACAAAAAAGGGTTAATTTGGGTCAGAACTACCTTCTCTAAAAGTTTAAATAAAAATGGAAGTTTAGAAATGGGACAGAAATTGTTCAGCTCTGTAACCTCAAGGCCAGTTTTTTTTTTTAAATTTTTTTTATTATTATTAAAGGAGTGACCACTGCTTGTTTAAAATTGGATGGAACACAACCCTTGGATAAGGAACGATTCACAATAGATAGTCTAGGGCCCATGGTTTCAAACAAGTCTTTTAAAAACCGTGCAGTTCTATTAATTAAATCTGAAAAATATTTAGTTCTTGCGGCTTTGACTGCACTTTAGCACATTAAAAGCTAAGAGAATGTTTTAGCATTCCATAATGAATCTGTAGTCTGTCATTCTTCCATCTGTGTTCAGCTTTCCTACAAGCCCATCTAAGAGCATGTATTGCATCACTAAACCATGGCTGAGAGACTGAGGTTTCAACCTTTTAAGTCTAAGTGGAGCAACATCATTCAAAATGTCCGAACACACAGAATTAAAAACTTGACAAGTGAAGAGGAACACCTGGACTATAGAATACTCTTGATTTTAAATGTTCTCTTTATCCTATCCTCAGGTGATTTACTTTTAATAAAAAACACATTTTTTCCCTCTCTAATTAATTAATAAAATAAATAAATCTGTCTTTTAAGAGGAATGCTTCATTTTTTCTCTCTTTGCTTTGTATCTTCTGATATAGCAGTTTTTTTTTTGTTTGTTTTTTTTTACAAAAGCTAAATTTTGTGTGTCTATTATAAATGATTGTTTTATTTACGGTCAAAAAAGTTTAGCTTTTATTGTGGTAGCATTACTCAGCGTTGTTCAATAATATCTAATCAACTGTTGCAAGATTATTCTATTTAGTAATAACAGCTGCCTATATTCAGCAGTGAATTTGCAGTTATTTTCAGTAAAATAGAGTTATTCTCATACACTACACATATAACACCCTTTCACCCCATTATTCAACACTTGATAAATTCTGTTAAGGAATCACCTAAAACAAACACACACAAAAAACAGACATATTGTCCAAACACTTATCCTATATTAATTACATTGTAACACAAAAGATTAAAAAATTATTTCAAGCAGTTATTTTCATAGTAACCTCTCAATCTCCAAATGTGATAAAAGAAATGCCATTAAAGTACCAAAACGGTGTTATATTATGTTAGAAATTATGTTTGTTTTGTTTTGCTGTATATAAATAACATAATAAATTGTGTGCAATGTAAACCACTGGGAGAAAGTCAGGTAATTTATAACAATTTATAAAAAAATAAAAAAAATCAATAAAATTTAAAAAATAAAAACAATATAGAGTCAGGGCTTAAAGTTCTCTGGCACCATGCTGGATATCCGGCGTGCAGCGTTTGGCTGCAGAAAAAAAAAACATCCTACATTAAAAAAAAAAAACCTTCTTGATATCACTTTCGAGTCCATGAGTTCGCCTACCAATGGTATGAGAGGAGCACAGCTTTCACTCTCAACCACACTAACATTACTAGCCAATCAGAATTTTTTGCTCCTATAAACACGAGACGCGCATAATACTGTGGTATCCAATTGCAGAGGCCCAGGCATGATGAATGGAAAAGCTGCGAAGCGCAATGGACAAAGATGTCCATCTAGCGCATATTTATATAGAAAAACAAATTAAAAAGCAGCGGAGCTTTGTAAACAGCTCAGAGTAATCATGTCATCTCCATAAGAACGATATGATTGCCAGAACAAATTTACCGGGATTTTTGAAAAGGTCCTGTTCACACATGATCTCTTAATGGTAACTTACCGGTAATTTACCAGTTAAGACTGTATGTGTGAAAGGGGCTAAACTCTTCCTCTGCATATACTGTGAATTGTACTTGCTTAACGTTCATCTGGGAAAACAGTGTGCATTATCTCACTAGATTTGTAACATAAATCATTTAAACCGTTGCCAACACAGGAGAATACATCAACCTATTTCTAAATATGCCATTTATTGTATCACAATTTCAAAATAAAAGTTTCTGAGTTTGCATGTGGCCAAATATTACAATTAAATGGATTTAAACATTGTTTAATCACGCTTGGCGCCCTCTGCAGGTATTTGTTATAATACATTATGTACTTAAGTTGGTTATTTTCATATTATGTATAGGCATATTACATTATGTATTTTAACCATGTTGTTCAATAAAACCATGTAATTATTTGGTTTTGATATTTTATTTGAGCCAATTATTACTGCCTCATCAGTTTATACATAAATACAATAGTCATACTAAATCCTGGTTTTCACTTAGGCCTGTTTGTTACTAAAAATATCAGATTACTCAATTGTCAAAATAATCAGTAGAGTACTTGATTACCAAAATAATCACTAGGTACAGCCCTAGATTAGTTCAAATATTTCAAAATACAACTGCATTCTTTTATTTTTTGTAATTAAAAGACAAATATTTTGTCATTGAAAATTTCTTAAAAATAGTATTAAAATATTGTCTCTTCCTAGTGAACCAAAAATCTGTATTTTGTCTCATCTTGTGAGCTAAGTGTATTGTCACACCCCTAGTGTCGATAAGCAATGATACAGCTCTTAATTTTCCAAGTGTATATAGCTTTCATTCTTCAGGTGAACTATATATTCATGAAAAAAAAATCAGTTTGAATAAGGAAAGCAATAACTTTGCCACAGTATCCTTTCAAATGTTAAAGTTGCCACAGTCATCGCATGCTGCCCCATGCCGAGTACTGTTCTATCATAATTAAAGCAAAATGCCAAAAATAAATCTTAAAACTTTTATTTATTTGTATAACACATTTAAATGCAACTTTGTTGCCCAAAGTGCTGGTCAAAAGCCTAGTTGCGGCATTTTGTACAAGCTGCAAGCGAGATAGTTGCCGCTAACAGATCCCTATATAGAGTGAGTTACAGTAATCCAGTCGAGAATTGATAAAAGCATGAACAACAATCTCCAAATCTTTAAAACTAAGAAAAGGTTTTAAATTAATCTGTTATCAAAGCTAAGAGAGGAATCAAAACGCCAAGTTTTCTCACAATATCTTTCACGATCATTTCTAAGGGACCAAGAGCATTTGCTATCTTCTCTTTAACCTTAGGAGGACCAAAAATTATGATCTCAAACTTTGTTCATTAAGCTGAAGAAAATTACTTGACATCCAAACTTTAACCTCATCAAGACACCGCAGCAGAGACTGCAAAGACTGCTAATTTCTGACTTTAAGTGTAAGATAAATCTGTGTCATCAGCATACATGTGATAAGAAATGTCGTAGCGACGACAAACAGATCCCAAAGGGCACATATATAAAGAAAACAACATAGGACTCAAAATAGAGCCCTGAGGAAGACCATATTTTAAGGGGACCACAGAGGATACAACATTTGCCAAATTAACAGAAACTGTTCTGTCCTTAAGGTAAGAGTGAAACCATTTAAGAGCTGTTCCACCAAACCCAACATCACACTTCAACCATTTTAAGAGAATCAAATTATCCACATTGTCAAATGGGGCACTGGGATCTAACAAAATTAAAACAGCAGCCATCCCAGACTCAACTGCTAATAATAAATCATGTAACACTTTTACCAGAGCTGTCTCTGTACTATGACCAACTCTAAAACCGGATTGGAATTTGTCCAGGAGATTATTCTCCCACAAAAAAAGGGTTAATTTGACTCAAAACTCCCTTCTCTAAAACTTTAGATAAAAATGGAAATTGTTCAGCTCTGTAACCTCAAGGCCATTTATTTATTTATTTTAATTAAAGGAGTGACCACTGCTCATTTAAAATTGGATGGAACACAACCCTTGGATAAGGAACTATTCACAATAGATAGTATACTAGGGCCCATGGTTTCAAACAAGTCTTTTAAAAACCATGGAGGGACAGGATCCATAGGAGTGGAAGATGATTTCATGTGCTTAACTAAATCTGCTAGAACCGGAATGGAGACATAATCAAAACAGTCAAATGTACAATAACTTGACACCGGAATTTCGAGAACAATGTTGGGGGGACAATCTCTTCTCTAATCTTGTCAATCTTTCTCACAAAAAGAGTTCAGGAAATCCTCACTAGTAAAGGAAGTGGAATCTAAAGGAGGTGCTATAGCTAGGTTTAGCACATTGTTTATTCTGCCAAATAGAGCTTTTGGACAGTGAGCAGTTCTATTAATTAAATCTGAAAAATATCCGTCTCTGAGGGATTGGCATGGTAATGTACATGACAATGTTAATATATTTGGTCTTTGCGGAATAGATCTGCTGCGCTGCTGCTGCTGCAGAGCAACTACCGAGACTTGCTACTGCCAATACATCCACAACATGCTGCGGTAAGCATGTAAGGAATACTGCTGCTGCACATATAACACATATGAATAACCCCCATATAGAATACACGAATCACCTCGTAGCAGATCTACACAGGTGGAGCTGGGGAAGGTGGAGGGTCTCAGAAGTGCGCTGCAATATTGCTACAGCAAACAAAAGCCTAAAAGTATTTGAATATTGAGCAGTAAGCTCATTGGCTACCGATACAGGAGAGAACCAATCAGCTGCCATGTGACAATGATGCCGCCAGTTCAGATTGAGCTAGACCCATCGGACTGCGCAATCTAGAGTTCCATGCCAGAACTCTGAATTTCTGTCATGACAACTCTCGGAGGGATTGGCATGGTAATGTACATGACAATGTTAATGTATTTAGTCTGTATTGTAATGTATTTAATGTATTTGGCGGAATAGATCTGCTACGCTGCTGCTGCTGCTACTGCAGAGCAAGTACCGAGACTTGCTACTGCCAATACATCCACAGCATGCTGCGGTAAGCATGTAAGAAATACTGCTGCTGCACATATAACAAATATGAATAACCCCCACAAAGCAGTAGACACGTTACACAAAACAATACAAGCAAATATATGCATGCTGCTGAATACAAGGATAAACTGCTGCATCAGTGGACATGCATGTATCCACACACAAAATGGATATACATTGCAATCCGATAGATGAGACCCCAGCATCCACCTGAGCAAATGTCACAATTTAGTAATTTAATATCTGCTTTTACATTCTACACTTCATCAGTCCCAGCGGCAGCATAACAGCTCGTTAATTCGTGTTCGTGCAATGCTGAGATGGACAAAATTAGCCGATGCA